GGAAAAATTAAACCCCAGATATATTGGACCCTTTGAAATCTTAGACAAGATTGGTACCACTGCCTACAGACTTGCACTGCCTCCTGAGCTCTCCCGGGTTCATAATATGTTTCATGTATCTATGCTACGTAAGTACAATCCGGACCCTTCTCATGTCTTGGCTCATGAACCGCTTCCACTCCGAGAGGACTTGTCTTATGAAGAAGTACCGGTCAGTATCACGGACCGAGAAAGCAGAATACTCCGCAACCAGGAAATATCATTTGTAAAAGTCATGTGGCAGAACCACACGCCCAGGGAGGCGACTTGGGAACTGGAATCAGAATTTAGGGCCCAATATCCTCATCTGTTTGATCAAGAGTAATGAGGCAAATTTGGGGACAGAAAGCAATTATCAATAGTTGACATTCAATCCTAAAAGTCAAATCTTTAATTTCCTCAGACAATCATTAATTCGTGTATTTTATATTTGCTTAAAGTTTAATTAACTATCATATGCACATCCCATATGTTGGCACTCCGCAATTGGTCTATCGAGAATATAAGTTCGGTCAGCAAATTTCTTTATGGGGGGAGAGTTGTAGCGCCCAGAAAAGGGCCGAAAAAAAAAAAGCCACGTCGGCAGCCACGTCAGCAGGCCCGGTCAGCAGTCCCGGTCAGCAGTCCCGGCCAACCGGGACCTACCACGTGGCAAGACCACGTCGTTCCAAAAAGGGCCACGTTGGCGATCGGACGGCCCAGATCAAGCGTGTGATCGGACGACCCAGATTTAAAAGCACGGACGACCCAGATTTAATCAAAAACGGACGGCCCAGATTAAAACAAAATGGACGGCTGAGATCAAAAGGCAAAGGGTTATAAATAGAACCCCCACACCAGACCACAAACCCTAGCCGCCTGCCGCTCGCCGGAGAAGACGAACCAGAAGCCGGCCGCCGCCACCCGCCGCCGCACCGGAGGAATTTCCGACCGCCGATCGAGGTAAATTTCGTACCCCGACTCGTTTTTCCACGCTAATTCCTCCTGTGGCCAAATCGGAGCCAAAATCTCGGCCAAACGGCCGGAATACACGGCCGAAGCCCAGCGGTGCCGCCGCGCCCCCTCAGTTTTGCCTCCGATGAGGCCCTTCCCGGCCTCCGTTTGATGCAATTTTATATCACCGTGATCACCATTCTTTCTCTACAAGTTGATCAGAGCCGAATCACCAAAACACGAACTCACCGGAGAGCCGCCGCACCCGAGAGCACCGCCGCCGGTAAGCTTCGGTTTTTCGTAATTTTTTGGCCCCCCGAGGGCCCTAGGGTTGTTTTATCACAGGTACCGATACAAGTGTGGCCGAATTCGGCCGGAAACGGCTTAAAACGGCCAACCTGAGGTGAATCGCCGCCACAAGCGGCAGCGTCGTCGTCGGAGCACGGCGAAGCCGCTGTGCCGAAATTGCGATATTGGCCAAAAAGGGGCCCTGGGCCTAATTTGGGATTTTTTGGAACACATGCGGTACCAGTAGTGCGTTTCAGTTCCTTAGAAAAAATTCAGAGAAAATTAGGGACAGCCCGTAGGAGCACTGTGAAGCTGTGTTCGGACCCCGAAACGAGTAAGGACCCCTCACCCTATTTCCTATCACGGTATTAAAGTTCAATAATGATAAAACGGTATTTCTTGAGTCAAAGAATGTGTGAAATTGCTTAAGGTCGCTAATGGAGCCCGAGTCTAGTGTGTTTATCGGTTAACTGTTATTTGGCGTATTTTATAGTTTTAAATGCAGTATGAGGTCTGATGTTTTCATTTCATTGTTTCGCGTGCATATTTTACTGTTTTATTGATTATGGGTTGAATGACTGAGAAACCAATGCTGTATGTTGTCTTGTTTGGCATAATTTACTGTTTGCTTGTTTGTATGTAAATTGATGATGCTGACTGAGGAAAAGGAGAATGAAAGATTATGTCAATTGATAATTGCATAATGTGGTCAGCCTGACTAGATATCCTAGGAGATAGTGGACGGACCGGGTCCATAGGGAACCCTACCGGGATTGTGGTCACTCATACCGGACGGGGTATGGAGACCTTATGTGTTTTGGCGCCCATACCGGAGGGGTATGGGGACGGCCCGTTTCACCCTCATACCGGACGGGGTAATGAGGTTTATAGTTTTGGCGCCCATACCGGGCGGGGTATGGAGACGGCCCTGGAGTTTGATTTCAAGTGTTAAGGGTTAACGGGTAGCGGGACCCCTATGGATCCCCATGGATACTAGTGGGCTGGTAAATGAAGAAAATATGTTGTGTAATGATTGAATTACAAAAGGCGTAATAAATATTATGTTATACAGTTTATATGATTTCATGATGAGGATAATGTTATTGCTTTCGTATATTGTTTTATGAATTTCATCGAGGTAAGTGGATGGTAAAGGTTTTTATGTTAATAAACGAGTTCGTTATAAATTATGCTCCATTGGTTTTTTTTTTTGTTTTCTACCCATCTTTACCTCCGTGACGGTGAGATATCGTGATGTCTTTACTGGGCTAGTGTAGCTCATT